TGATGCAGTGCCACTATCTCTGATGGCATCGAGGTCATGATAAACACTCGTGGTTTTTTCAAAACCTGTTTTAAGTTTGAAAAAATGTATTCATTAAGAAGTATAAAAGTATGACACACTGATATATACATAAAATATTCATTGTTGTAATGCACATACCCGTTTCTGGTCCCACATCTGGACTGAGATCAACACAAAAATTGCTTCTTTGTCTTTTAGATGTGTGTGTCTTATTTTCACACAGGCTCCTCAGCTTGTTCACCATCGTCTCAATACAACCTGAGTAAAAATATAAAGGTCATAATTCCATAACACAATAGGAGGGTTTTTCCTGGCTCACGCCGGGTTTCCGGGCTTTGGATGGTGACTAATCACAGAGACTGTGTTTCCTTACTCAACAGACGTCTCTGTAGTCCCCTGTAATTTCTGGCCATTTGATTCTTGAGTCAATTGAAGCCCTTGTAAATCAAACTGGTTAAAGCATTTCTATCCCTCTAAAGACAAGTGTGTCATATTTGATACACGGGTTTTTGTGATTATAAATTGCCAATGGGTGTGAATGGTTGCCAGTCTCTTTGTGCTAGAGACAGCAAATCTGTCCAGGCTGTACCCTGCCTCTCGATCTATGATAGCTGAGGTAGGCTCCAGCCCCCTGCGACCCCAATAAGGATAAGCGGAAGAAAATGAATGGATATAATTTTCTGGCGATGACTTCATGGTTCAGACAGAAAGCTGAAAAGGTGTACTATTTTGATCATTTTTAAGAAAATTGGAAATGGATGCTCACCGCACTCTGTTTCATCCTCAGACAGCTCCTGTGACAGTTTGAAGGCTCTGACTCTTTCGTAGCGGGCTTGGCTGCACAGTTTATCCTTAGTGTTCCAAATCTGAAGCCTGATCTTATGAGGTAGAAGACTGATGAGCACATCCCTGTTGAGTCCGATGTTAAACTTCTGGGCCCAGCCAACCCAAATCTGATCTCCCTCAAGCCACGTTCTTAGAATCTGTTCACATTTATTTTTGCATTAGACAAACTCAAAGTTGTGTTCAACAGCAGCCTGAGCAGTCAACTATTTACCGTAACTCTACACCACGAGATACTCCCATCCACTTATGATGTTCATGAATTGTTCATTAATGTCACACACACACATACACAAACAAAGAGGATCCTATTTACCTTGCACTCGTCTTCTCTGTATATTTTTGCTGCCGGCCCAAATACTAGTATGTCCACTTTAACCGTCTCAGTATCACCTGGCAACAATTTGTATTCAATATGATAGCAGCTCTGAGCTTTGTAGACTGACACATTCTTTGTTTTCATTGCTTTCTCAGAATCTTCAGGAGCACTGACTTCCCCTGCAAGAGGCCAAATGTGCAGGAATGAGATTTAGAATCAAAACACTATTACATTACAGCAGATATGTAGAGCCTGTCAAATTCAACCGTCTCACTCTGACCATCTAAACAGAGCTAATAATAATTGTTTATATGTTCTGTGGACCATCTTACCCTGTGGAACGGCTAGAGCTATGTAAACTGTCCATGTGACGTAGTAGGCACTGTCATCTGTTTGCACTTTAATATCCTCATATGAATCGGTGCTGGACAACAGTTCAGTCTCAAAGACGAGGACTTCTTCCTGTTCTTTCTCTGAAATGTTTTCGTCATCACAGGTTGGGTTACAAACACTCTTCTCTGACATGTTGCCTTTTGGGTCAGACTTTGCTGGAATAGTTTCCCTGGAAAACACTGAAAGAAAACAGCAAATGAAGCTACGCCAAAACCTTTTGGGATTTTCTTACCTGGATGATTGAGCATGCATCAAGACAAATGATGATACATTTTACATGGAAATGTGTAATTGTGAGGAAGCAGCTTATCACAATCCTAGCCCAATCCCTTGCTTGACCGCTATGCTGAGTGGATCAGGCAGTTTTCTTATGCAAGGGGGTTTGACACCAAGGTCTGGCTCCACTTTTCTCTTTGAAAGAAAGAGTTGCTGCAAATCCAAACTGTTCTGTGTAATCAAGCTTATCCTGTGATGTAACATTTCTATCCTGATGAAAATGCCTCATCCACAGTGCACAGAGGCTCGCTGAATGGTTTGATGAGGACAATATGATTCACAGATCTAAAGCAAGATGGAAGGTTTTAGATAGAGCTCTCCACTACCCTCATCAGACAACCAAATGAGAGAATAGCCTTTGTTAGAATGGTTTTCAGCCTTCAAGTAGCACAGAGGAAAAGCAGAGAATCAATATACAGGCCTGATGTGTTCATGGAAAGATGGCCCAACACTGTCCTTTGTGTATCATTGAGTAGCATGAATTTGTCCTTTGACACATGTTTATGAAACAGGTATAAAACTAAAAATATTCTTACTTATTTATTCCCTGAAAAAAATGCCAAGCAAACAATCTAGAGCAAGATGCTTGACTACATCTTAATGACACTAATTTTAAGTAACAGAAACAAAAGCTGACCAATACCTTGATCTCAATAACCTTTAATAAGCAGATTTGAAACACTAATACGAGTGTAACAATTTCCAAAGAAAATATGTTTTGGTTCGCACTGAAGTAGATGAATGAATGAATGAATGAAACTTTTTCTTACAAGCTTGATCCCTTGATTATGACATGGAACATGAACAAAAAATAGACTCCTTAATTGTTACTGTTATGTACATATTTTCAGTTCACTAAATACCTAAATCATTTTGAGAAAACTATTCACCTGACCAGTACACCCTGACACAGATATCAGTGTGGTATGTGCAGCTGGAATTGGGAGATGATATAACTGATGTTTTTCTTGCAGTTTGTGGTGTTGGTTTCAGAATTATCACAGCCCCGCAAACAAATCAGAGATTACTGAGAGATATCCTTATTAAACAAAAGCACAGTAAGTAAGCAACTGAGTTGCATTGTCAAATGTCAAGATACACAAGGGATGAATTACTTATCTAATTGTTCTTGAAGGAAATCTAACTGGAGAGAGGTGGTCCAACCTGTACGTGTGCCATCGCCCTGCCATGGGGCTGTTTCAGCAGGACAATGCCCGCCGCCCCCACCCCGCCTTTGCCAGAGTACCGTAGGTCTTTCTGGCTCAGGTTCGTACCCAGAAACAGCCAGCATTTAGTCCCAATTATTCATGAAAGGCAGCCGGATCAATTTTGAGTACAAAAATTTGATTTCGGTTTTGCACGGCAATTTCCCCAAAATGTGTAACAGGCCTATAAATATTACAAATTAATTATTAGCATACTTTACCGCCTTCGCTCGGTCTCTTTCGTCTCAGATGAAGGTTAGCTTACAGCTTCCTGCAGCCTTTAGAGTCCATTAACTTCAGCGTCACTCACTGTAAACCCGTGACCATGACAAGAGTTTACATTATATCTCAGTTTATATAAATTACACAACGAAACGACATAAAAAGTTCAACCTACGTGATTTTCAGGAGTGCAACGCATGGTGACAACGAAGCGGTTGTCCGTGGCAACGGCTGTAGTGAAGGACGTCAGGCGCACCCCTGCCCTCACGCGCCGTTCAGATAAGGAGGCAGCGTCTTTTCCTTCGCTTTCTTTCCTTCCTTTTTTTTTGTTTCTTTTCCAAGTTTAATGACAAGTCCAAAATATCCTAGGTTCAAAGTTTTAGGGGGGCTCAGCGCCCAATAATAATACCACGCAGGCAGTGCCTTGTAATTGATATTTAGGGAATGTGCTGTTTGCAATCGTAATCAACCCTTTTCACATTTACAAACCTCAGTTTAACTGGATAAACATTACAATGATACCTTCAAAAGCAACTGAGTTAGTTGGATAACCGGTTGTGGTGTCTAAGAATATGTCTTGGTCTGAGTGAATAATCAGAGATTTCAATTTAATCCACCCGTTTTAGGGTGGAGCCTTTAGTTATCGACCCCAAGGCGAAATGGCTCAGTCATTAAAGAAGTTAAAGAACTATTTGTGGCAAAGCAGATAAGATGAGAAACATGCACAGCATTATTTCACTCTCTTAATCGCAGAAACTGGAAAATCACCATACCACTCCACAGACCTATTTACTGAGCAAACTAGCAACAGAGGGGGTTTTTATATCAAAGTTTTTGCATTCATACACTACAAAACCTCCCTTTATTATGCAGACTCGGCATTATGTATCTCAGTTTCAGGAGTGGAGAACAACTTTGTAGTCCATCACATGAAAGTAGTGGCAGCCATCCTGTTCAGCCATGTTTCAGTGGGAATCCTGTAAATTGCTGCCATTCATATTCATTTTCTGTACAGAATATTCAGCATTTTAAGTATGTTACTGGAAAACATGCAAAAAACCCATGAAAAATATGAAAAATGTTATAGCATAACATTCTGAGCTTGATCAGTATGTTTTTTTCTAATAGTTTATCAAGCTCTCTTTCCCATTAAATGATAAAATTGTGGATATTGCTAAATTTTGCTAATACGCTCGGCCTTTCAAATTGAGTCTCACACACTTTGCCATTGCAGTATTTATTTTATTTTATTTGTTACAAGCTTTTAAATTTGGGATTAGAAGAAGAGGCAGGTGTTTACCAAACCTGAAGTCCCGTCCCTAGCTCTAACCTTTGATGCTGGGTGACTTGGTGGACATTAAATATATTAATAGCTCACTTATTGGGAGGATCAACAGGCTTACATGTAAGTAGATGAGATTTTTCAGGGTACCAGCACTTAAAATAAAATGAAAATCAACAGGGAAAAGTACAGAAGATAACTACAGAACAAAAATGTAACTCCACAGACCGAGCTCACGCATTACATCATGCACAAAGCAAGGTGCAAAAAGTACAAACCCCCCATAGAAGAGTGTGTTTTCCCTGCACACAGACCATGGAGTGGAATTTTCTTCAGCTTAAAATAAAAGACATTATGCAGCACGGGCTGTAAGTCTCTGGGGCGCCTTACATCTTAACAAAGTCTAACCCAAGTGAATGAGAAAAGTTTACACACCTGGTGCCAATTACAGTCAGACGCACGGCAGTTGGAGGCCGTTATAATACGCGGAGTGTTGGAGCTGCATTGCTGAGCGCTGTTCGGGACCCCTTGTTGTGGATTTTGGGGGCAGTGCTAAATTCAAATCTGCTCGGGCTCAACACACGCCTCGTTTCGAGCTGCGCCACTGTGCTCCAGGTTTTCGCGCAGAGCGAGAAACGAAACGCACACGGGATGCTGCGAGGAGAAACACAGCAACTCCAGTTCAGTTCGAGGAAATATGACTTTGCTCAGTAGAAATGATGGATGCGATAGACTCCGTTGATCCATACAGCCGACCAGCGCGCAGGACACAATGGATAGTCAGCACCCTGGCTTACCATTACGGACTGGACCGGGGAGTGGAGAACGAGATTATTGTTTTGGCCACCGGGTTGGATCAGTATCTGCAGGAGATTTTCCACCACATGGACTATCAAGGTGCAGGCAAAATCCCCGTGGAGGAGTTTAACATCCTGTGTGAAGTTTTGGGACTGGACAAAGACTCGGAGGACACAGAATGCGTCGACGTTTTAGACAATTTGCCCAGCGAACTCACCTTCAGACAGTTCCACGCCAAACTGTGCGGGTACTTCAGCACTAAGGCTGGCTGCCAGTATGAGAACGGCCGGCTGCTGGTCGGGATGGACAGCGAGCACATAGAGACTCAGATCCGCTTGAGGAGCCCGCTGAAGCGCCGAGAGAAGCTGTTGTCTGTGGGAGCGAGCAGCGGCCCCTCTCCTCTCCCGGAGGGGCGGCACGCCTCCGGCTGCAGGCTTGGCTCCTGCACCCGGGAGTGCTACGAGGAGATCGTGGCCCTGGAGGAAGCGGAGGATCGAATAGCCAAACTGGAGGATGAGAATGCGAGTTTGAGGGAGTTGATCGAGGACATGCGAGCCGCACTTCAGAGCAGTGATGCCCGCTGTTTGGCTCTGCAGGTGAGAAGCGGGATTTTAAATACTCTGTTTGTCCATATAGTGTAATTTTTAGGATGTGATATCTTTCACTTGGATCTTCCAAGCCCATAAAAATATGCAATATGCGTCCATAGGCCTTTTGTAAAAGAACAGGAGTGCTGCTGGGGCCCAAGCTTTACTGAGGGGATGGGGGTACCCAAAATAGCCGTCACCAACGCTAGGAAGTAGTTATTCGTGACTTTGAAATTGTTAATACATAATTTCTAACAACTAATTACTGACAAGAAAGCAGATCCCATTTTTCTGGTTTCTCCTGCAGGAAATATGAACATGTCTCCTGTGGTCTCACTCCCCAGAAAACCCCCCAAAAGCCACAGACTCAGCCCCCTTCGTTACTTTGGACAATTTCATTCATTAGGAACAGTGACCAGTAAATGTCGACTGAGTCCTAAATTGTGAGTTTGTTTCCTGGCCGGTGTTGTGGATGGGTCCATTGTCAGACTTTATGAATTAGCACCAGCTAAGACACATGTTGTTTCAGCTTTACAGGCGTGTTTGCACAGGGCTTATGAGGACTTGGCAGGGCTGGAGAAAGGGTTCATATTCAGATGGTCATAGGAGGGGTTCAATCTGGACCTCCTAACAGGTTCAAGCAGCTCCTCTGCAGTTGTAAGCATTCATAAGGTTTTAATGAAAAGCAAAATACATTAGCATTAAACTAAAATGTCTGCTAGACGAAGTTAAAAAGCTAGTCAAGTTTAAAATAAATTCATTTATATTTATAGAGTACCACTTCACAGCAACAGTTGTCACTGTTTAAATTGTAAAGACCCTACAACATTAGAGAGAGAACTGCAATGATCAGACGATCCATAACCAGAGGTTTAAACAACTGTTTAACAGGAAGAGACCTCCTTCAAAAAAATCAGTCAGGGATGGGGAACACTCTGCCACAGGGGAAAAGAGACCAACTTGGCAACCTATAGCTTATACAATTTCACATCTCATTTATTCATTAAGAAATGAATTCAAGCTTAGCAACCCTTTATAAAGGGTGAGAAACTCATAAACAGCTGTCAACAAATCACGATGAGATGTAATCCTGATACTAGTTTTCAAGAGAAACATTACATTTCTGGTTTTTATTTTGATATGTGCCAGTTAAAATGTTTGTTTATTGGTACAGGGATTGGGGAGACTTGGAAGAACAATTTCCAAAACCCACATATTTCATATTCTGATAGCACATACAGCACAAGAGCAAGTTGGTTTTAGATATATGATTGCTGACACCTTAACACCAAGAGATGTTTTTCACAGCCTCGCAGCCCAAAGGAGTTATTCATTTTCGCAATTTATTAAAACAACACTTCTTTATGGTTTCCTACAAATGCAAGACCTGCTTAGTCATGTTTTAGTAAGTTATGGGAATATCTCAGTTATTTCATTTGTTTCGATTCAGGTCGGACTGTGGAAAAGCCACTCCAAACACAAAGCAGACGAAGGCTGTTTTGTCGCTCACCAGAAGCAAGCCATGCAGAAAAAAATGGCCAACACCAACCTGAAAAGCTTACAGAACATAATCCACGAAATAGAGCTGCTGCGTAGCTCGCAAGATCGGCAGGTGGAGGAAGCCATGCGTTGTAATCAGAGACTGGAGCAGGAACTGTGGAGCTCTAAAGAGACTGTGGCTGCGTTGGAGGACTGCAACAGGGCACTGAAGAGGGAGCAGGTGGCCATGAGAAGGAAGGTGGAGGAGGCCCGACAGGCGCTGCTCAGCGGGCTGGGTAAAGTGAAGGAACTGGAGGCAAAGGCAAATCATGTATCAGCACTGCAGAGACACATCCTTCAGCTGGAATCAGAGCTCCTCTACTACAGGTGAAAACTCTCAGCTTCACATGTAGCATTTAAGTCTGAGCAAACAGCAGTATTTTAATGTTTGGGGTGGAGTATAGAATTTTGTCAAGACTCGATCGTGCACCATGTTGACTGAACTACTATTGGTTTTATATTAACTACTTATTGTAGTGATAGCAGTTGCTTGGAACAGTTAACTTACTTTCTGACGTACTGTTATTCCCAAACACTAGTTCTATTTTTTACCAGAACGCAGTCTTCAGTCTGTAACAAACATCTTAATGACATTTATTCCTTTATAAAACATTTGCCGCATCTTTAATTTCTCATATCCTGCATTTACATTTTCTTGGTGGCCTGTTTCTTTGTCATTGCTTCATTTCTTGGCAGTCATTAGAACAGGTGGAGCAAAAACATACGGTCTGAGTTTGCTTCTACAATGGCTAACTGCATTCATGCATACCCCTCATTAGATTTACCTGCACAATGCAGTTTTGCTCATTGTGGTTCCATCACATACAAAATCTTCACAGATTCTTAATAGATGGAAAGAAAAAAAAAACTCAGTTGTGTTTGTAGTCTGTGTCATTTATTTGGAAAAGTTTTCTTTAATGGCAGTCCACTGTTTAAAAAACAAAACAAAAGAAAACACACAATGTATTCGAGTTACAGAAGTTTTTTTTTTTCCCCATCTTTTTGAAATGACATTAGTGATGAAGAAAATTAGTAGCATAGCTCACAAGCTGGCAAGCACATCCACCAGGAGATTGGAGAAGCAGTTTCACCATGGTTGGCGTCACCAATTGGCACAAGTTTATTAGATTTATTGTGGAGGGTAAACTGATGATTATCATACAAACATAAATATATTTCCAGAAAATCTCCCAAAACAAAAATGCATGTCATTTAATGCATTGTTGTTCTGAGCTGGATGGTCAAGATTTAACAGCTGGTCAAATTCTCTTGGTTTTTTTAACTAGAAATGACTCAGTGTATCTTTGTACCTTTACATAAAGATGTGGGGTGATGACACTACATGTTTGTAGAGAGAGCGCGTAGACTAGACATAAGCCTCTCTGCTAGGTTCAACCAGCTGTTAAACCCCCAGCATAGCAAGTGTCATGAGAAGCAAGGGCTTGTTTTGGCACGTTATTGCATTAGAAAGGCCTTTGTGGCGAGAATCAACCATAACGAATTATAATTCCTCCTACAGTAGGTTGAAATGACTCTATTTACCTCTGGCTTCATGCCTGGAAAGCTCTCCCATGCTATTTATAAAGGCTTGATGTGGCCTTACTATTCCAATTTTCAGTCTTGTTGTGTTTGAGTTTATTGAATGAGGCTTCGTGTGTGGCAGGTCAGTCTTGCCTGAGCTCCGCTACTGTTGGGAACTATTCATTTTGGTGGAAGTAAGGGTGTAATTGCACTTTTAAAGTACAAAGCCTTTGGTTTAATGTTTATCTCTGGGTCTGTTGTCCCCACTGCAACCATGTAATCAAGTCTGCAGGTCTGGCAGATGTCTCTAAATGCTTGTAATGTCTACATAATGCTGCTATTATAGCGTCATGGACAACCAGAGCTGTATGATTAAAGTCTTCACTCCTACCTGCATATATAGGTAAAATCACTTTTAGCAGCCAAGGTGCCCTTCCTTTTTTAACCCTAAACACTGCTAATATATGCACACTGTGTTTCAAAGGCTTTTCACTGCCCCTCCATTGATGCCCTAATGGCAAATAATTCAATAACACAAAGGCGAGAGAGAGTTCCATTGAGTAGGAGCCTGAACAGACTGACCGTTCTCATCAATCTTTGTTCACTTCTTTCACTCTGCTCCCACATGAGCAATAGCACATAGGCACCCCCAACCTATGGAACTTAGCAACCAAGCCCCTATTCTCACCGAAAGCCTCAAAGCTTGCTCGCTCACAATATATCCAAGGACACAGTAAGAAGAAACATGTGAGAACTTTCTGGTGCTCTTTTATGTCTTTCATCAAAATGATGTTTCTTTAAAATAAAATCATGATTCTTTCAATTTGCTGTCTGAAATATCACAGATAATATGTTTTGACAGGCAAAATAGGTCTTTGAAATGATTGACTATAACTTTATCCCCACGGCTTATTTCTAAAATGCTGTGACAAGTAATAAGATTAGCTCTGACGCTGCTGGATTTTCAGAGATTCTGCTACAGAGCCGCAGGAAAGGTACAGCAGAAGCAATTTAGAACCAGATAATCACACATCCTTATGATGATGAATCCTTATAGTGTTCACCTTAACTTGACAGGGCAACAACTGATTTTTTTTAGACTGCTTTGAGTTTGAAGAAAGCTTATAAAGATGAGGATATTTGAGGAGATTTTACTATGAGAAACTTCTCATAGTAAGATGGGTTTACAGTCTGATCAGCTGAAAGGGTTGATCAGCCATATATTGTATAATAAGCAGGAAATTTACCTGAGAAAATGTAAAACGCACATCCTTCTAAGCATTAATCCACCAATTTTTTTTTTAAAAACGTTTGACCAACTAAGACTACCAGCTTTCCACAGTCAAAGATAATAAGTAATAATAAATTGTTCCACTAATTCATCAATTCTTCATCCTTGATTGACTCTGCACATTCTTTTTACATACTAATTACACCTGTGTTTATTTACTTTTATCAGAATTTGCTGCCATTCCTTTAGGCAGCGTTCTGGAGGAAGTCCTTAATAGAGAAATGAGCTAAAATAAATACACTTTTTCAGTAGTTTAACAATTTTTTTTTTTTTTTTTTTTGTCATGTCAGTTTTGTTTTTTTGGGGGGAGGGGGTTGTTGTTGGGTTTTACAATGACTGTGATTGTTTTTTCCTAGAAAATGGTAGAAATATACTAATGAATAGTCACTGGCCAGTTATAGATTTAAAACCAATAGGGCATGCTTGATGGCATCTCTTTCAAAACCACTACGTTTATAATGGACCTTATTATAAGTGTGGTAAAATCAAACCAGAAATAGCTGCTTGTTATTATCAGTGATGACAATTACCAAAGAAATCTACTTTCTTTCAGGTTTCTACCAAAAGCCATTAAAAAAATTGCTGCTCTCAAAAATACTTGTGATTATATTAAAGTTACTGTCTAGCTTTAGAACAATGGCATGAAACCAAGTGCAAGTTAGCTTAGCAAAGGGTAACCAGTGTACACAGAGGGAAATATCTAAAAAAATATATTATTTTGTTTTAATATTATATTATAGATACCATTTTAATACAATAAACATATATTAGTACAATAAACATCAACAATGTCGTAAGCTTACCGCTAGCTGTTTAATGCTAACAATCTGTGGGAAACACAGCAACATATTAGCCAATACGTTACATTTTGTTTTGCATGCTATGCTGAGCCTAGTTATCTCTTGGGTACTTGGGGTGGCTGTAGCTCAGGTGGCAGAGCAGGTCAGCCGCTAATCAGAAGGTCGGTGGTTTGATCCCATCCTGGCTGCATGCCAAATATCCTTGGGCAAGATATTAACCAGTTTGCCTACTGGTGGTGGTCAGAGGGCCCGGTGGCGCCAGTGTCCGGCAGCCTCGCCTCTGTCAGTGCGCCCCAGGGCAACTGTGGCTACAATGTAGCTGCCATCACCAGTGTGTGTGAATGGGTGGATGACTGAATGTAGTGTAAAGCGCTTTGGGGTCCTATGGACTAGAAAAGCGCTATACAAATGCAGGCCACTTACCATTGAAGCCAATACGCATTTCAGAAAAAGTAGCCTTTTCCTTTATTAGGCTTTCTTATAACTTTTCCTTCATGTGTTCTTTTTTTAGCATTCAGTGATATACAAGTTTCTTTTCTAGAAAAATCCCTTCTCAACTTTCCATCAGTATCCCAGCAGAGGTCCAATGTGCTCATCGTTACGTGGGTGTTGTTGCATAACATGTCCATGTCTGCCATTACTTTGGATTGAATGCGAGAACAGAGCAGAGGCTGAGATTCAAGTGGGAACCACACCCTCAGGAGGACTTGATCAAGCACATCTCTGGAGAAGTCTTGGTGCAGCTGCAATGATATAAATTTGTTACTTTTGGTTCAGTTTGTGCTCTTTAGTTCCAGGAGTCAAACTGAGCTTAAATCAGTCACTGCAGTGTGTAGAGCTCTGTGGGCCAGACATACTAGACAATGGGAAGCACAGCGAGAGGAACAAAATGAGATGAGGGGGGGGGGAGGAAAGCTTACCATCTGGAGGAAGAAGCAAACACTCAGCTGTTTGTTCATCTTTTGCAAGGGACGAAAGCGAGAGGGACAGATGTGTTCATTAGTTTCGAGTCCCAGAGAAAAGACATGAAGCAGAGAGTGCAAATAAGTCATTAAAAGTGAACTTTGGCTGCTTTTTATTCAAAACTTCTTGACCTTTAATAGTCATGTAGATCCAGGTGTCTCACTTTATAAAGTCCAGGGATTTCTAGCAAGCATACCAAGCACATGCGTACTACATGTGCAAGTTTAAAACTCACTCACTTTCATTTGCTGGCTTCTTCTAACCTCAGGCCATCTGAAGCCAGGCCCCAAGGGAGGCATAATCTCCTGGCCCTTTCATGCTCTCTGTATGGTGCCTGAGAGCAGAAAGAAGAGGAGGATCTAGCATACCATTTATCTGCCTCAGCTCTAGAGCTGCAACATTGTGGGGAGCAGGTGCTGCCATGGCTTTCCTACCCTTTAAATAATGTGGAAAACACACTTGGGGATGTCTGGGACCTGTGGCATTCTGCTGTTGCTATCTCGCTGTAGTTCTTGAGCAGCCTTCAAAGCCCCACACTGCCAAGTGGACTCATTTTCACGCTGAAGTGCTGCCCTGTTCTCTCTGGTTTGGAGGTATGCTGACATCAGCAGAAAAACATGGCACACAAAATATCTTATAGGTGTGCGCCACCCACCCTCACTGGACTTCTCTCCCTTTAAAACTTCCCTCTGCTTTTAATACCGTCGTTTGTTTGACTTTAGAGGTTTCTTTGCACTTTGCTTGCTAAGGAA